TCTCAACTGGTTCTAGCCTGTGGCTGACAACATGCCTCCATGACCGCAGGTGAAGAGCAGCACCTGTGCTGAGCACCTCTGCAGACCACCGAGCACCGAGCACCTCTGCAGACCACTGAGCACCGAGCACCTCTGCAGACCACCGAGCATTGAGCACCTCTGCAGACCACTGAGCAATCAGAAGACCGGAGAAAATATTGCCTGCACCCCCATCAGAAAGTTGCGGGCGCTGACACAGTCTGAAAACATAGCTGCTGCTGTGTTTCTTGGAATGAGCTTCCGACAGGATATTTACTTGGGAAAGAAGGGGCTCCAACAGCTCAGAGCAAGCCAGACCCCAGACGCCCCTTGGTGCTGCACAGGTCAGCAGACTCGCCCCACCCACACGTGGAGGGACAGTCAGAGAGCTCAACCCTCCAAAAGTGGACAGCAGCACAGAGCTCCCTGAGTCCATGCGGCAGTGGGGGGGGGCTGCACTCAGTACCTGGTAACGGCCTGCGGTGACAGTGCTGTGAGGCAGCTACACTTCAGATCAAGTCTGCGGTCCCCGAGGGCATGGTGCTGGCCACAGGGCAGCCCCCGGGGCCCAGGAACGGCTCTGTAGCGCCGGCCCGACTCCCACTTCTGTGAAGGGGCAAGACCCTCCCAGACCAGCCCGGCTGCATAAGGGGACTGCTGATGCCTGCATCCAGCGGCTGTCCTGCCACTGTCCCCAGACCCTTCCCCAGAGTGGACCTCCTTCCGACAGGCTGTTATCTGTTCTAACTCTGCCCTGAAGCAGAGTACCTGGAACCGTGAGGGCAGGAACTTCTGCTGCCCAGGGCCAACAAGGGGCTTGGTCAACACCCCCAGGGACCTGCAGTGAGCGTGCTCACCTGCCCCACAGCCACTACCAGGCACACTGCTCGCGGTGAAAGGCACCTGAGTTGTCTTTGACGTGGTGTGCGCTCGACGGGTTAACAAATTCAGATTCTGCTCACGAGGTACCTTCCCAGAGGCTTTTCATCACCTTTGCTAGCAAAAATTATGCCGGTTGAATCTATTCACTGGAGCGCTGACAGTAACATGGGCGGGCAGGGGGGGCCCAAGGGTACTAGAGGCTTCGGGTTAAGTCCACAGAAGAAAGGCTCTCTCGCTTCCTGGTAAAGGCTGACCTTCTTGTGCCAGGTGAGGGGTCACCCTGCACTGCAGAGTGACACAAAATGCTCGCCTGCCCCCAGTGTGCGGTCCCGTTACCTGCCTGTCGTGTCCACAAGACACCACACCCCCAGGGAGCGCTCATTCTCGGGACCAAAGCTTAGTCAGTTAGAAAAGTGAAACAGTGCATCTTTCCAGGAGGCCCTTGACACCCTTTCTCCTTGTTTACCACGTCTTGGAGGTCCTGGCCTCGTCTTAGCTTCAGCTCTCTGGATCCCTATTATGTGTCTGTTCATTTCAAATCTGACCTTTCGTGTTTATAAGCAGAGAACACATGGTGAGCTCTCGAAGGGCTGGGTGCCTCTGGTCCTTACCGAACGCTGCCTCCTCGGGGAAGAGACAGGATGTGTCTGGGCAACAGGGAGGTTTCTCAACGTGTTAGTTTTTTCCTAAAGCTACGTAAAGTCTGAAACTGACACTCAACAAGGGCCACTCACTCAGGACTGCTGGTAACGTAAAAGACAGCGGTCGGCAAAGGAAGGTGAGTAGCCTCGTGCGAGCGAACACAAGCCTGCTTCCTCGTGGAGCCACACATCACTCGCCTGCTGTTCCCAGATCATCTGCACGTTCGTCTTTCTAGAAAGCTGTTCCTTTCCTGAAATGACTGTAACAGAAACTGAGCTCAGGGTCATGTTCACCAACGCACACCTACACATTTTTCTAGCATATGTTTTTAAAAATAGCAAAGTGAATGAAAATGCCACATCATCATGGTTTATTTTAAGCCAAAACTGAGTTCTCTTATTACTAGGAAATGTGATACTTAAACCAGAGGAACACTGTGGGGGTAGAGAATGAAGACCAGAAAACTTAACACTGAAAACCAGGACTTCAGCTCACCCTAGAGTTCCTGCCAGTCGGGAAAGCTGGGTCCAGCCACCTTGTGTTTAGTGGGGGAGTAGGGAACTGAATGTTCTGCTAATAACGTGTCTCTGAATGTGCTGTGAATGTGTTTAAAACTAGATAAGCACATACTTTCAAGCTGCAGGTTAGAAAGAAGGGTTCTGAAGTCAAGTCAGTCTCCCTCAGGGAGGTGAACCGACCTCCTCAGGTAACTGAGCAAGGAGCAGACAGACCCAGGACTGGAAGTCCGGCCTGTCTCACCATGTGACCACTTTGGGTTTTTTTTTCCCGAGGAAGGAAATGCTGTTGTAACCATTTTGTTGTCTTCAAATGCTTGAGTTTTGAGAGGAAAAAACTATGGGGTCTTCTGGAAAAGCTGTAGATTTTTCCTGGGGCTCCCTGGGCCCAGAGCAAGAGTCAGCGCAGGGACCTGGCCCACGGTGCCCAGATGGCTGCCAGAGTGAGACCTTCAGACCAAGGGGCGCGGAGCTGGTGACCGCCCACTCTTAATGGGGGGGGTGTGTGTGTGTGTGAATTCACCTGTGCACAACTTGGTGTTCAAAGATCAAAGCATGGATTTCTTTATGTATCACAGTGCATGGTGTTCTGACTCTAAGGACTGGCTTGCAGTTCATCTGAGGTGACGTTAATAAAGTCATTTGGTCACAGAGGTAAAGAACTAATTTCTTTATCTGTTGCTACTTAATTCGTTACATTTTCCTAGTCAGTAGTTACATGAAATAGATAAAGCACCTATAAAACTTACATTTTCCTAAAGGAGTAACACCAACTAGCTCTTCATGTTTTCATATCACAGCCCTCCAGTAGTCTCACCCATCGGAATACCCCGATGTTGACCTCTGAGCCATCAGCTGAGACATTCCTGTCCTGGGGTGCAGGCTGGCCGCATGCACATAGAGAGAGGAGACGCCACTGCTGGTCCTGCTCCACAAACTTGGCCCCGCGGAGTCCAGCAGGCCTGGCAGCCTCTGGGCACCCCCGCCCCACCCCGCCACGGATCCCGTGCATTAGTGAGACCCGAGACCTGGCAGAGCGACCTCGAGGAGGACATTAAATTCGCAGGCACAGGCGTCCCACTGCTGGAGCCAAGTGCAACCTGAATACCTTGTCATCTCTAGTTTGAACCATGGTCTTCTCTCTCCATGGGTGAGTTTCAGTGTGGAAACTATCAAGTTTCTTCACACAAAAATGTTCCATATGAAGAACAGAATTTTTAGAGAGATGTTACAACAGTCGCAGAAGCAGAATAGAAAAATACACCAGCCAAAAGTCAAACACTGAAAAGGATCTAATATTTTTCTTCTGACGGAGCCATACACAAGCTGGGATTCATGTGCGGACGGCGCTGAGCCCCTGGGCTCAGGAGGGACAAAAGGCTTGGCTGCGGGGGGGGGGCTCCCGCTGAGAACCAGTCCTGGGGCGCCTCCTTCAGTCCTGACTCGCAGCGGGCTGTTGACACAGCGCAACGAACTGCCAGCCTAAAGGACACAATCTGAACGACCAGAGCCAATTAATTTCACGTTTACATGCGTCCCCGCAAGGACAGCAGGGCTGGACGATGGACCGCTGTTGGCCTCAGCCAGGCGTCCTGTCCTGGGGAGCACTGAGGAGCTTGGTCTCTGCAGCCAGAGGTCGCAGGTCCGGATCCGCACTCCCCTACCACCACCTCCCAACACGGGCTGGGACCTGGGCCATTTCACCACCGGTAGGGTTAGGGTTAGGATGATCCTACCTCACGGTGTTGCAGGAAGATTAAGGTAATCAACACACGGAAACTAATCAAACAGTGCCTGGAGGTAGAGGGTCACCAAGGACCAGCTGGAAAGTGGGCGGCATCACTCACCTCCCTGATCCCGAGGGCAGCCCGAGGTGGGATCCGGTGATGGGACACCAGAGTGTCCCCACAAGGACAGCAGGGCTGGACGACGGACCGCTGTCGGCCTCGGGCAGACCCAGCTGGAGGAATGTCCCCCGACCCCCAAGAGAAGCTGAGAGAAAAGCCGACGGAGTGAAGTTTCCCAGGGGGTGGGTCTCAGTCCTGCACCTCCAGGGCCAGGCATGATGACAGCTCTGGACCACCGTGTGCTGGAGAACCCGGAGGACGGACGGCTGTAGGACAGTGACCGCAGCTCTGCTCAGGGTGTGGGTACCGCCGGGGTGGACCCAGGCAGGGACGCTGAGGTCAGAGCCACCACCAAGAGGACACTTAGCTACTGCGACAGAAACAGCATTTCCCTGAACCGGAAGTTACTTTCTAGATGCCTCTATCAGACAGTCAGAGGGGTCAGCTGCAAATGTAAATGCAGATACACCAAGAGTGTCCAGTAACACTCACATCTTCCCAGAAATACCTGCGAGAACATTCAATGAAAACTCACGACGGTCACTTCCACTTACAATGCGGCCTTCAGTGAAAGTACTTGAATTTAAAAAACCATCCTAAAAAGGACACAGGGAAGCCCAGCACTGGGACGTGTCAGAGAGGAGACTGGATTAGGGTCTCATTTCTCAACGGAGAAAAAAACTCACCCTGATGTGTTGGGATGTCTAACAAAGGCACAGCAAGGGCTCCCAGCGGAGTGAGTTCAGGCTGAAGAACTACACTGTGACCTAGTAAAACCTGAAGGCAAGCATTCTGAGAATTCACAGTAACAATTCCCTGCTAGCATGTTGGTAAAGTTTTGAAAGCTAAAGCCTGAAGTTTTTTCAGCAATCTAAGTCACAGTAACTAACTTGTTACCTGGGATATAAACAAACATGCTCAGAACAGAGCGCCCAGGGGAAGCATCATCTCTTTATAAGAAAAAAAAAGCAGAGAAAATAGGAAACAGCTCTCATCACAGACGACGCAAAACAAAACCCAAACTGCCAATACCAACACACATAACTCATAAAAACCTTAAAAAATAAAAATAAAAAAGCATCTCACTCTGGCTTACCTTGCACCATGAGCATGGGCTCCTTGCCCCCGCCGTGCGCCAGCATCTCCCGACGGTAACGCTCTCCCGCCGCCCTGGGGAGACAGGGGACAGTTACAGGGCCCGCTCCCGCCCGTGAAGCCACCGAGCCGACGTCAGATCAGAGCTGCCCTTCTCTATGGGTGCTTCCTCAGAGTCTAACTCTGACTTCTACCTTGCCCTACGAAGGAAGACAGGGTGACGGCACTGCGGACTGTTCTGTAGCCAGCACTCTCTTTAGAAAGGACTGTTTATGTTTGACAGAATAAGCAGAAAATCATACCCCCTTCTCCATCATCTTCAGGATTTCTTTAAAGTGAGATTTGAAGTCATTTGTGCCATTCTTTCAAAAAAGAACTTGAGACGGCACCCAGCAAAGAAAGCCAGGACTCTGATGTGAGCCTGAAGGCAGCGGAGCAGGCAGGAAGGGGTGTCGCACCAGGAATGCGCGGTGCTGCTGTTAGCTGCGCTTAGTGAGGAGCGCCGTCTGTGACGTCTCTAAATGATTGAAGTTAAGTAAGTTGTGAAGTTTTCACCCCACTCTTTTTGGAACACCTTTTGGGGGCAATTTTGTGAACATGGTGTCTAATCAGAAATGCTGATAGGAGTTCAATATCAAAAACATGCTGACCTCAAACACTAAATAACCTTGGTTCCATCCAGAAGTGAGTGCCGAGGCTAAGTGTGCCCCGAACAGGACATGTGGACAGAAGCCGGGGCTCGGGACCGGGCAGCCAAGAGCCCTGCCTGACCTCCGTCTGGACGGGGGTCCGTCCGTGCCCCTCCTGGTGCCCCACAGCTCCGCTCCCCGCAGTCAGACTCTTGCTCCCAGCCTCCAGTTCCTGGCTGGCTCCCAGGTGTGGCCTTTCAGCCTGGAGACTTCAGCACTGGGATAAGAAAGGGTCTTCTGACGGAGATGAGGAATTTTCTAGTCCAATGAGTGTTCTGACTAGTTTTTTACACGTCTAACAAGTATGGCAACCGCATGTGTAGGCGAGAACACATACGCAGCCAGATACAAACACTGCAGTACATACGTATTAGTACGCAGTTTTCTAGTAAAGTGTGAGTCCTTCAAACAAGGTAATTATTTTGCCTATTTTATAGAAATCTTCAGTCAAGAATTATAAGCCCCCAAATTGATTTATGATACTCAATTCTGGCTTTAGATCCTTTGAAAATCATAAAAATCTAAAAAGCAGACCAAATGTCTTCAGTGTGCCGAGGGCAGAACAGCATGTGGGTACCAAGTCGCAAAACATTTAAAAATTCTATTACATCAGATTCAAGTGCAAGACATTCTGGAACGGAATGTGATGACTAACTGCTGAGAAAACCCAAGCCTTTGTCAAGTTACATCAGGAGCTGGCGGTGGGGTGGGGAGTGAGGAGCAGACCTAGTTCTCATCTTAGTCCAGGCTGTTCGTGAAGCCTTGAATAAATCACCCCACTGGGCCTCAGTTTCCTCCCATAAAAAATGCCTGTGCCACCAAGGCTGCCCTGACCGAAGACAGATGCCACAGGGAAGCTCGCCTGCACTCCACACACCTCAGGTGCCCTGAACCCTGAACACATGGGAGGTTGTCTGCAGTGTCTGTGTGGTGAGGAGTGTTTCAGGCGACTGTTAGGCCAGATCGTAATAAGGGGTTTGCTTTCCAAGGAGGCTTTTTCGAAGGACTCAGCAAAGTGCAACCTGTCCTGGTCCTGCTGACGGAGGAGCAGCGGGAGCCTGAGGTCCAGGCAATCAAGGACCCCTGGCCCCCTCTCCCCAGCCCTCACTGCGTGTCGCGCCCCCACTGCAGGGATGGGAGGGGCGTTGGGTGTCCCCACCAGAACCCCCCCATCCCCACTGGGATTTGTGTGTGGACGCTTTGGGAGGCCAGGAGGCCGCCCAGACACTCCCGAGGGGCCAGGTCTGAACCCTGGTGGCAGGGCGGCCCCAGGGCCCCCAGAGGAGGTCCTGCCAGGGTCCCACAAGGCCCTCCTGGGGAGGAAAACGTTCCAGAGACAGAACAAACAGGACGCTGTCTGGTAAAGCAGCCAGTGGTGCTGCTTCCAAGGGCAGAGCAGTCAGGTCCTCTGCGGGCCAGAGAGAAGAAATGAGGTTCCATGCGAGTGGGACTCGAGAGGCTGGTGCTGAAAATCAGGAGGCCAGTCAGCAGGGACAGGAGGGAGCTGAGAACAGGAGGCCTCGCCACGTGGGGGAGGCGTGGGGCCGGGCCGGGGGGGGGCAGGGGGGCCAGGCCGGCAGGCGAGGGAGCGCGGCAGCTGGGTCTCCTCCAGGCTTGGGTCGCGCTCCAGGAGCCTGACTCGGGGCGCAGCGCAG